GATATTGTATCTATTTAACAAGTATATTTGCAGCCCAGAATGGACACAAACGACTAAAAGATTATGAAATAAACATCCCTTTTATAAATGGATTTGCTTCTATATATTATTTTCTAAAAAGCAAAAAAATAATAATAATAATAATAAAAAAATTAACCCTTTTTTTTTTTATGTGTTTAGCATGAGGATAAAATGAATGTGGCTTTGAGAGAGGACTGAAGACATAATAAATGTGTATTAAAGTCCAGTGTATTTAAGGAAACCTTATTGCTTCAGCAGCAAAAGCTGTTCAAAGTACTTTAAAGCAGAAGAGTTGTTAGACCTCAAATTAAAGACAAAGGAAGTCATTGAGCTCAAAGGAAATAAAGGGGGAGGATAGTTCATTTCCTTTCTAACACCTCCTTTTAAATCACTTTATTTGTCTCTTGATGGCGAGACACAGAACGGGATATCCCACCCACAGAATAAGTAACGCTGGCTGGTACATGTCCAATAGGCTTTACAGAATGGCTCTCACTGTAACAGTATTCCAGCAAGCAGTAATAATAGTCACCCAGTGTGTGCAAGGTGTGTACTTTTACAGAGTACCAGTAGCTCATTATTGCCCTTATCTATCCATTTGTAACATTATTTTGTGGCTCATTACTGCTCTTAACTATCCATTTGTAATATCATTCTCTTTAGCTTACCTTTTTTTTTTTTTTGCACATTAGACTTATATACACATATTTTTAATATATATATATATATTTGTTATCTTAGTACCTATAACGTTTTTTTTCCTTAAAATATCGTATTTTAAGTAGATATTTGCGTAATCTGAGTTCTTACTAGTTCTCCATTCTCCAAAATATACACCCATTTTAATTTATTATTGTTACCTCGGGATCTTCCCACTATTGCCTTCTTACTAACTAGGACTTTTACAGGTATAGTGAGGGATGCCCTCTAATGGGCAAAAACGGTACATAAACAGTCTTACTATAAGCACCCAGAGTATTGTGAACTTTTATCTAAGTGACTGTATGCTAATTTCAAATTGTCATTCAGCATCCAGTGAATGTGACAGGAATATCAAAGGCTACAAACTGCTGAGTTTAAAGTGAGTTTTAATCTGTTTAACAATGGGACATATTCACTAAACACAGAATTGTAGTGACTTAAAAACCTCAGACTCCGCCATAGTCACACCTTGGCTACTTAAGCTTACATTTAACATTGAGATCATGAATGTCATACATTCTATTTTAACTACATTTAGCAGTTTAGGGTTCAATTCACTAAAATGTGCTATTTAGCGAATAAACCCCAATGTGTAGCTGATGCATGTTTGTTTATTTTGTAGATTGCTTTATCTGTCTATTAACCCCTTAAGGACACATGACATGTGTGACATGTCATAATTCCCTTTTATTCCAGAAGTTTGGTCCTTAAGGGGTTAAACAACATTTTAGTGGGAGAAAATAGTGATAAAAACATCAGATTTAACTAATTTCTCAAACATACCACCCAGAGTCATTCATAGATATTATAGTGTGTGTTTAAATGTTTGTATGTATATATGTAGCAATAGCTAATAAAATCATAGTTTAACTCACCTTTTTCCAGAGCTGAGGCTTGTATTCAATGCTTTCCTATGGGCTTCCGCATTACGTGACAGTTTTACTCAGTCAGTGCCTCTAGTGCTGTCAGTATGAAAGCTAATAGGTGGATTTAACACAATTCAGTTTCTAAACCAAAACCAAAATAAAAGCTGCAATGTTTTACATTGCAGGGTTAATAGGACAGGGCCAAATGGGATAGGGATATTGGTGTCTGTTTGAAATGAAGGATATACAGAGATGGAGAACTTTGCTTCCAGAGGTTTATTAGCCAACTTGTAATGAGAGTTCCGGCTAATATTAATTCTGTGCATAACTGATGTCTGGTGTCAGTACACATGCATTCTGGCAACAGACAATCAATGATGTCATGGCCTCCTCTTCGTGCCACGGTAAGTCCTCTGTGTGCCTGTCCACCGAGAAGTCCCTTTGTTGAAGACAATCAAGCTGCTATAAGAATTAGGACTTGATGTGGGATCTAAAGTAAGTTACCGCTTCATTTAAAAACCAAAACAAAAAAATTAGATCTAAATTGTAATTCCAAGATCTAATACCTTCAAAATTGTGAAGCAAGCACTATTTTCATCTGTTAAAGGGATACTGTAGTGCCAGGAATTAAAATCTGTATTCCAGGCACTATTGCTTTCCCTGCCTCCCCCCACCCCCTCATCATGCCCCCTCTCCCGATAAATAAAGGGTTTAAAAACCTTATCCCAGCGCCATGTACCTCAGGCCTGGGTCATTACTCCGCCTCCTCCTTCATCCCTCCTCTCAACGGAATCAATGGTTTCCTAGGGGGAAAAAATCTGACGCCAGATACTGGACCAAAGATCCGTTTCAATTCAGAAAGCCCTCTAGTGGCTGTCTGGTAGACAACCACTGGAGGCAGACTTAGAGCTGCAAGGTAAACATTGCAGTTTCTATGGAACTTAGAAACTGCAATAGGAGTTCTTTAGTGCTGCAACATTTACATTGCAGCACTAAGGGCAAAAAGGACAGTGCACCCAAACCACTTCAATGAGCTGAAGTGGTCTGGGTGCCTACTGTGTCCCTTTACCTATTTATCAAATCATCATTTGTGTTCTTTCTTTTCTTTCTTTTCAAAAGTATGTGAATTTTCAATAATGCATAGAGTGTGCATACCTATCAATGACCCCAATTCCCAATTTTATATTTTTGAATAAAGTTTTTTGTTATAATTTAATATTTTAAAAAATATTTTAATATTGCAATTTTTTTGATATATTGATATTTTTATAAATTATATATTTTTTATATTTTGAAAAAATCATTTGAAAAGTTTATCAAAAGGTATTACATTGGGTCAATATTAGGAAGTATGAACCTAGGAAAATGGGTGGGGATGATGCAACCTAGCTTCCAGTAGTGTCAAAATGATCACTCCATCAATTACACATAATACAGCTGCAGTAAAATTGAGTTACACAATTCACAGTACAGCCAAAACTGGGTGCACTAATAACTACTACAGAAAAAACAAGATAAATATACACAAACATATTTAGGGTTGCAAGTGATATATCTATAGTTTATGAATTAGAGAAATATAAACTGTACTATAGGGCTTTATCAAAGAGAGATGGTGTTTGCTGAACTTGCAAATAGCGACTAACTTCGCCATGTCAAAAATTCAAACCATTGCAGGAGAAGCTTCCTTTGTTGCTGTTTGGATTTGTCTCTATGAAGTTTTGAGTGGGATCTCTTTCCCTCATCAGAGGTGCCCTTTGATGCGATTTTGAGTTCCGCAGAGCACATGCATAGACCCACTCAGCAATTATCAAAGTGCGACTTTGTCAGTGCGTGCTCCTGAATGCTTCCAATGATTGTCGAGAAGCTCACTAATTTCTGCTGCAGCTTTTGCCAGCAGTACGCCGCTGGCTCGTTACAAGCAATGTTCCCTAACTGTTAATAGTTGGTGTGCACAGAAATGTTTTGTTGTGCAAATTTTTTTTCCAGTTACGCACTAAATGCTTGCATAAATGTAAACCAGAAATTGTTTTAAGATAAATTTATCTCGGCCAATCTCTAGTTGCTAATTAAATGTTATTGCCATGTTTAAATATAATAAAATATGATTAAAAGCTATGCCCAGATTCCACATGGCTTACATATATTTCAATTTGCCTCTATTGTATTATGCCCACATTAATGCCACATTGCGTAAATTTTATTATTCCCATATTCATGCCACTATGCCCACATTTATGCCACGTTGTCCCCATTCTTCCAAATACATCCACTTACAGCAGGGGGCTGTGGACAGCACTCGAAACAGTGTCTTTGGTGCTGGCTCCTCCTCTCTCCCAAGCCTCCTTGTCTGGCTCTGGTTGACCTCTGCTCACTGTTGCCACACTTCATTCCATGATGCCTTCTCCCTGTGACTTCTCCATATAGGGCTTGCCCATTTCAGTTTGTCAGGTTGGGTTGCTGGGCCTTTGTTGCCTTAGAGACTATATGGCCAGAGCCAGTCTTACAATGGGTCTGGTTGAGACTGTGGCACCTGGCAGCACTTTCAGGGAGTGGCAATTTGCTGCCTTTGCTGTGTCTGGACCTGTTGTGTTTCTTTTTGTTTGCTTTTTTGAGACATGGAAGGATGGAAGAGACATGAAAGGGAGGGTGGAGGGACATGGGAGGAAGTGTAGAAGAGAGACATTCGAGGAAATGTAGAAGAGAGACATGGGAGGAAGACTAGAAGAGAGACATAGATGGAAGGAAGGGTGGAAAAGAGACATGGAAGGAAGGGCGTAAGAGGGGCATGGAAGGAAGGGGGAGAGAGACATGGAAGGGGGGAGAGAGACATGGAAGGGGGAAGAGAGACATGGAAGGAAGAGGGACATGGATGGATGGGGGAAGATACATGGCTAGAGGAGAAAGAGGGGCATGATAATATGGAAGGAAGGGGGGAGAGATATGTGGAATAAAGGAGGGAGAGAGACATGGAAGGAAGAGGGACATGGATGGATGGGGGAAGATACATGGATAGAGGAGAAAGAGGGGCATGATAATATGGAAGGAAGGGGGGGAGAGATATGTGGAATAAAGGAAGTGGGGAAGAGACATGGAGGAAAGGGGGAAGACAGACATGGAAGGAATGGTGGAAGAGAGACTTGGAAGAAACGGGGAAGGCAGACTTTGAAGGAGTGGTGGAAGAGAGACTTGAATGGAATGGTGGAAAAGAGACTTGGAAGGAATGGTGGAAAGAGCACCTTGGAAGGAATGGTGGAAAGAGCAACTTGGAAGGAATGGTGGAAAAAGAGACTTGGAAGGAATGGTGGAAGAGAGACTTGGAAGAATTGGTGGAAGAGAGAATTGGAAAGAATGATGGAAGAGAGAGATGAAAGGAAGGGTGAAAGAGGGAGAGTCATATGGATGGAAGGGGGGAGAGTCACATGGATGGAAGAGGGGACATTTACATGGCAGGAAGATGGAGAGTGGGGAGTGAGACACGGAAGGAAGGGGCAAAGAGAAACATGTAAGGAAGGGGAAGTTAGACACGGGAGGAAGGGAGATACGGAGAGACATGAAAGGAGGGGATGTCTGAGTATGTGTCTGTGAGTGTGTGTTTCTGTCTGTGGATGAGTCGATAGATTTGCATGTGTCTGTGGTGGTGGGGGGGGGGGTTGGTAGCAGGGCTGCATTTGAGTCTTTGGCCCAGGCAGCACTATATCTTGAGCCAGCCCTGGATGTGGCAGCTCAGGATTGAGAATTACCCCCAACTTGCAACAGTTCAGTGAATGTTTAGCATCTGTCATTCACATGCAGGCAACAGGTATCCAATGGTTTTACGTCCATCCTCCGTGCTGCACATGTTTCCCCCTAGCAGATAGGGAAAGAGATGTAAATGGATCAGGCTGGAAAGAGAGCTTGGCATTTACACTGAAACTTAGGTACATTTATGCTTTATTTATTTTTTAGGTTTGAGAGGGGGGCAAAGTAAGGTAGATTTACTCTAACCAATGTTTTTCCTTTAACATTGTTTAATCAGGACCATATGCTTTGCCATAGATTATGTTTTGGGAACCTTCATGGCTGGTGGGAAGATCAAAGATAGATGCTGAGGGAGAACTTTGTTTTTCTCCTTCTACTGTATCAGAGCATTGCCAATGTGCTCATACATACCCTGGCACTGGCCAGAATGAGATGTGGTGCAGACAAACAGGTTCTCCCACTTGACCACAGGAATCCAAATTTCCCCCTCCCTGGCCTAAGGTACGCCTCAGGGTGGAAGAATACACAAATTTAATAAAAATTAATAGTGAGCTTATGTGTGTGTATATATATATATATATATTTATATTTTTAAATAACCAAAAATGTCTTATTTAAATGCATGTTAACATATTTAATTACTGTGAAGTTATAGTAGGACATGTGTTCTCTATATGTGAGGAAGAATCCCAAAATGTGAATGTTTTTATGTATGTTTTCAGACGAATGTTTCCTGTGTTGAAGGTGAACGTATCTGGTCTGGATCCTAATGCCATGTACACGTTTTTGCTGGACTTTGTGGCAGCTGACAACCACAGATGGAAATATGTGAATGGAGAATGGGTTCCTGGTGGAAAACCTGAGCCTCAGGCTCCCAGCTGTGTTTACATCCACCCAGACTCGCCCAACTTTGGAGCTCATTGGATGAAAGATCCTGTGTCATTTAGTAAAGTCAAACTTACCAACAAAATGAATGGAGGAGGCCAGGTAAGTCAGCCAGGCAAAACATTAGTTTATTTTATGTGTACAATGAATTATTTGTTCTTTTATTTATGTAATAACTTTTGATTTTCTAATGGTTTATTATTATTATCCATGTATTTTTGTGAGCTTAATTTCTTTAGTGGTTGCAGGATAAAGGAAATGTGATCTCTGATCATGCTTGAATACATAAGGGATTATACTTAAATACATAAGGGTTGATTTATTAAGGCAAAACAGGAACTATTTTGGGGGCAAAGCGTTTAGAGACATTTTATTGGTTTCTATGGTGAGTGCTCATTATTTAGCTCTTTTGGCTTATTTTTCCCCCAGAATAATTTCTGTTTTGGTCATGCTAAATTTCATTTGTTGGGTTTCAAGCAGTTCGTAATGAAAGTGCTGTTATTAAATAGTTACTCTAACCATAAAACAGTATTTTAATTTAATAAATACTGTTTTTTTCCTGTACTGTTTTCCCTTGTCAAAGTTAAATGCAAACATACATAAAACCAAAGCCTAACTTTACCTCTATTCCTGCTCTGAAGGCAAGCTCTCCCTCAGCTTGATCTTACTCCATTGCTGTTACTCATCCTAGTTGCAGAAGGAGAAGGATGGGCTAAGGGGAAGACATGGGCAGCATGTTTGGCGCAGCATGCCTCTGTTGGCTGTCTTCGCCAGCATACACAGAATTCACATTATCGAGTCTGGAACTCTTCATAGTGAAATGCTGCCATTCAGACTCCAGGCAATATGACCACTTCACATAAACAAACTGGCCATGATGCTTACAGAACCCTCTATCTAACAGGGTTATTCACAAAAGTATGAGTTAGTGGGAAAACAGAGTGAATTCAAATAAATTTAAAGCTTTTAGGTCAAAATAGATTATCTGGAGAAGTTTCCAGTTTGGTTATTTTTACCTAACATTTCTAATTCCCATAGAATTCCTCACAATTTGCACTTGATTGAATAAACTAGCTAATTTCTCAAATTCTGGAGAATTCTCAAATTCCCTTTGCATAGTTTAACCTATTAATCAATAAAAGGTTTGTTTAATAAATGGTGAATTTCATAGTCATCATTCAGGGCAACAAGGCTTCTCAAGTTCTGACAAACACTAATATATCTGAAAATCACTTTGATGGTAAGACATAATGCACCAGAACTGTACAAATTCATACAATTCGTATTAGATGGGATATATCTATAGCCAATATTTTCTATAGGCAGTTCCAGTGTAAATTCAGTGACCGGCACAAGGTTTACAATACCCTTTGGTCAACTGACTGCAAAAAAATGTCACATTTCCATATCTGAATTGCTTCAGATTTGTAAATGTGCGAGCAGTGATTCTAGCTCAAAGCTTTTTGACCATGATAAGAAATACAAAATGGGGAAAAAAAGAACCCTGAAACAAACCCCTTCCATATGATGTGTAATGCTGGCTTAAATGAGTGGAAATATAAATTAAAAATAGTGCTTGGCCTACACATTAACATAACACACATGAGGTCTGCACTGTTGTGAAATGTTTTCTTTTTTTTTAAGATAATGCTAAACTCTTTGCACAAATATGAACCGAGGATTCATATAGTAAACGTTGGTGGATCTGAAAGAGCAATCAGCAGCCATTCCTTTCCTGAGACGCAATTCATAGCCGTTACAGCTTACCAGAATGAAGAGGTACATTATATTAATTAGAAATATAATTTTAACTGCTTTGACAAATTTATTTGTTCCTCTTCTATGTACATAATATATCTATTACACACACACAATTGTAGCATATTCTGCTCAGAACATCTGCATGTTAATACATAATTGTTCAGTATCATTAATTTCTTTAGCATTCCCCATGTACCTCAGCCTACCTGTCTTTATCTCTAACTTTCCATGTGTTTCTTTACACCTTGCGGCTCAACCTCCTATTGTTTTTTTTCTTACGCATCCAGAATATTTAATAAACCTCTAGTATATCGCTGCTAATCCATTCTAGTGATTACAAATATCAAAAATAACAAACGATGCCAAATTCTACTGTTACCTCCATTAATATTCTCCCATTCCATAGAAAATCAGTTTTGTTTTTACTGCCCCCATGCCCCTTAGCTACCCCATACCTTTATTTCCCCTTTGCTCCCATTATCTCGGCCATCTCTATATCACCATTCACTTTCAGATTTAGTTTTATACTTTTACTTGGCCTTCCTGACTGTGTTTCTCAGCCTTGTGCAATCTCTGGGTTCTCATGAATCCCAGGTTTTTCTTGTCCTATTTCTCTGCTACATTTTTATGTTTGACTGACCATCCTATTTGTCTGTCTCATTCCTGCATTCTTAGTCTCTCTATAACTTCTCAGTATTGTCTCCCTGAACATTTTGCCATACACATTCTTCCTCGGTCTCTCAGTCTATTTATTTTGCAGTAAATCACTGAAGATCTTTGATTAGCTGGCCTGCAAGCTCAACAGTGTCCAGATTAGAGACTTCATGTGTTCTGAATTGAAAATTACCATGGGCCTAATTATGTAACTGGAATTTGTTATTTTGACAAGTTGTACATTAATAATCATGAGCTTTACCTCAATTTGCTAAAAGACTTTGCACAGAGGGACTTTTTCAATGGGCATGGAGCGGTGATAGATAAGCAAGTAAATAAAATAGTGTCAGGCTCCCTAAAGTGTACATAACAGAAAAATAGTTGACTGACTCTTAATTTTGGTACATTGGTAATTAACAAATTAACCAACTTTTAGCTTAAAATAGCTGATTAGGAAACACAAAACAAAAATAATTCTTCGTTGTGTTTGTGCTATTTTAAACTACAAAATAAAAAGTTAACTTTTCTTTAAAACTTATTTTTGATAGATAATTTTCCAAGCTATGATCTCAATTCTATTGTGTTTGGATAAGCTTTTCATTTGATTGATTTATCTATAAACATTCCCATAGGCTTTAATGGTGTTTTCTGTAAATAAATAATTTGAAAAGCGTTTCTAACGGATTGCTATAATTTGAAAATCTTGTCCCAAAATATTAAATAGAGAACTATGTTATCAGTACATGCTATTTTACAGTATATTGCAACTCTATGGTAGAACAAGCATACTGTGCAGGAAAATATTTTAAGTTTTATTCATGTCCATGACTGTATAAGATTTGAAAAAGGCAGTTCACATGAGACACTATAGCTAATTATCTCCAATTATTTTTTTTGCTGTAATTTTCATTGAAAGGAAAAATGTATATACTTCTCAAAAGTTGATGCTATCTTTGTCTTCTGATGCACATATTTTCCTTTTCAGATAACAGCTCTTAAAATTAAGCATAATCCATTTGCAAAGGCATTCCTTGATGCAAAAGAAAGGTAATATTTTCTTTTATATTTGCAATGATGCTTTAACATGAAATATATAAAATTAAAATGGCTGATTGTGTATGTTCTTGCAAAGTAATCTTCATTTACATGTCTCCAACTAACTGTATTTTCCCTTATTCAAGTTATTATTGTAACTTTATTTTTTCCAGATTTTTCTCAAATATTGTTCTACCTCTATTTATCCCATGATATAATTCCTTAACTCCCTCTTATTATGTATTACACCGTCTTTCCTTACTCCCACCTTTGACCCATCAGTCACTTTCCGTGGTTGAAGCACCTGTTCGATGAATGTCTGCTATTTTTTCCATTTGTTGTTTACAGTCAGTTATTTCTTTCCAAGACAAAACAGAAAAGGAGTTTGAAAAAAGCTCAGACCAATTTTAGACTCTGTAGTAGAGTTTTACATGCAATTTTTACCATGTGCGAATTTATCTCACTATATAAAAATAGTACCAGTGCATCATGAGATGTGGCTGCTAGGGTACACATTCTTGACACCGTGAGCTAATGGCACACTTTCTTAGCACAATGTCTTTTCTGGCAAACAATGCAATCGAGACCCAGGCACCATAGTGCAGTTAACAGTCAGTATGAATATGCTATGGCACACTTGTTAAGCATAGTGGGTCCTCTGGTAGATGCTCATCTTCAGTTTTCTGACAAACAAAGAATAATGCTGCCTAGTGTAGAGTTTCCACATCTTTTACAATTGTACCCAGCGAGGGTACCATCACTTACCAGTCATAGACCAGCAATCCTAACAATAGCATTGTTCTGAGCTGTGGGAAATTGAGCTTTGCCTAACTTGTTTCAAACTTTTTGTTACCAGTAAAAGTTTGTGTAAGGCAGCTGTGCAATTCAATTCTTCCTAGTTACACTTCTGAAAGGGGCACACTGCACCTCTAAAGCACAGGTCCAGTGTGACAAAAAGTGCAGATTTCAATGAAAAATTACACTTTTATAAATTAACATTGTTACAGCCCCCTGGCTGTCAATAAGGCAATTAGTTATGTTACATTTTGGTTTGTTTAGCTCAGTGGAGCTAAACTCAAGAGGGAGGCAATTGTCCAGAGCACCTTGCAAAGACTTCTCATTTAGCTTCATGTCTGCAATTGGACAGCCATAAAGAATATGGCAATATGTCTCCATGGATAAAACTAGAACAGAAACATTTTTCCACACTAAAATGGAAAAAACAGGCGGGCGGGCAGGCAAGTCACAAACACTAGCAAATGCTTATTATCAGAGTTCCCTGGAGACTCTGAATTTATAAGCTACTTCCTCGACAAAAGCACAGAAAATCATCCCTACATTACTTGTAGTGTAATGTAGTACCATGGGACGTCAAAGCAAACTTTACCGGAGCTAAACGGTTCTGGTATCAAAAGATATCGTAGAACTGCTCAGAGTCGCCCCGCAGCAGAGGTCTGTTAAGATGGCACCTGCACGGGAAGTCTCCGACTCTGCATCTGAAGTGAGCTAAGACGTAGATGCTGAAAGATCCACAAAGCTGGACAAAACCTGTACCAACCCTGCTCAACAACTGAAACTGCTACCCACTAAGCTCTGTGATATACGCAAAACCAAGCCATTCTACCCAAGACCAAACCATGTGCTGGACCAGAGAGCATCAACATCAGCAACTACGTAAACCAACTTTCACAAAAGACTGTGACTACACAAATATCAAGACTGAAATTTGTTGCCTGACATGATGATTTACTGAAACAAGGATTTTTACCTTTGTAATTGTTCTTATCTGGTTTTCCTTATTTTTCTTTATTTTGTATTACTCTCACCACATTTATGGTAGAACTTACACTTGCTGAATTAGCAGCTTCTCTGAGAATAAATGCCTGGCTCCAGACATACTTTAATTTCCCCCGTATTAAAGCGGATGCACAGCAGACCCGTACAAGCTTTCACTTAAACAATTTGCAACCTCTTGCTGACGTTCCTCTAATGAGGTAGCAACTATATATTATTTTTTTAATTATTTGTCTAAAGTCATTTTAATGTTTATACATTGCATTTAAAAGTGGCATTATCAGATGTTTTTGAATAGTACAACCACGCTATGCTACAATAAAAAATCTTAAACTGAAAAAAATAAATTAAAAACATATTGCCATAAGTCAAACGATTTTCAAATTAATCATAACATTGAGCAAAATTTGTATGTATTTTTTATTTTATGAGTTCTATTTTTTTCTTTAACAGAAGTGATCACAAAGACATATTGGATGATGGATTGTATGGTCAACATTCTGGTTACTCTCAATGTAAGCAAAATTTCCAAGTAATACAACTAAAAACACTATTTAATAAATAACAACATTTAAAAAAGTACTTTAATGGAATGCAATATATGTATATGCAAAAGACACATCTAGCTGTGACAGGGATCTCAACTGTAATACCCAGATCAATTAATGAATTCCCAACAATTGTTAATTTGTCTGCGGATATCGTTCACAGTGAATTTAACATTTATGGCCAAAATAGCTGAACTGAAAAAATCTCCAAGTCATCTAAGTTTGGTTATGTACTCTAAGATCATTTACTGGGTTGTTTATTAAACTTACATTTGTTGGGAACTCAGAGTACTTTTGCATTGGTGACCTGACAATATTTTGGACCAATTGAACCTTTGTTAAACCTGAGACTTTTCTGTTGGTGGTTTCTGTAATCCGGGGGCATCTTGGTGTGATGCATCTCAGACACCTGCCTCAGTGCATCCCTGGTTTATATGAAAACTAGTATTACTCATTTGAGAACATGTTATCTATGTTTGTAACACTTCTATAACACTTCTTGTAACACTTTTTTTGCTAGTAGGTAACTGGCTGATTCCTGGGACTGGATCACTATGTTCATCATCTAATCCTCATCCTCAGTTTGTGCCACCCATATCGCTTTCCTCTTCTCATAGTTGTGATCGATATTCACCTCTTCGGAATCATCGTCCAGTTCCATATCCTAACCCATACTCTCACAAGAACAATACTTCAAGTGAGTGCAAGATAAATGGAATTTATGAGTACACTCAAATCTGCAGCAGTACAAATAGGTTTGAATTAGCTCAGTGGTTTGGGTTACAGGTTATTGTCTTAGTCACCATCTTGGCTCATACTTTAGAAATACATTTAGGATAACGCAGTGACATTAATTATTTAGGTCACATTTATGCCACAATCTAGTAGTGCTTAAGTTTTGACTCGAAAAAAGCTGAATAATTTATTTTGTGACTTCCAATCAGTGTAAAGCCTCCATGGTGTAATAAATCCTAGTTATTTATTATGAGACACATGTTGTTTTGCTTCAGTAGGGGGAGTGCAAAGAACTGAAGTGTGGCAGTTCTATTGAAACCAGTGACACTATCAGTCATGTTGCAATATTAACTCATCTCCTTTTATGTCTTTGCCCCACTTTTGAGAACATAACACTTTGATAAATATTGCCAGTAGACTTGGAATTGAGCAAATACTATTAATACAAAAAGTTTAGGTTTCATAAGGAGTCAAACCAAACAATGATGGCATCTAGCAGAGCTTCAAATTGGACCTCAATCATTCAGAAATATTTTGTATGCTGTGTTTGGAAATATTGCATGTTTGTCTAAGAAATTATTTTATGCATTTCTTAATTATACCATTTAAAAAAAAAATTTTTTTTTGTAGCATCAATAGCAGATAATTCTTCTGGCTGTCTTCCAATGCTTCAGTCTCATGAAAACTGGTCTAGCCTTCAATTGCCTGCTCATGCTTCAATGCTGCCAATGAGTCACAATTCAAATAGCCCAAACAACTGCAGGTAAGTTGAATTCCTAAGAGTTTTAGATATACATTCTCCGTAATTAGCAACAGAAGCCATATATGTCAATACCATTTTCAATATCCGAGAATTACAATCATTGCCTCTAAATGATCTAATTTATGCCATAATTGAAGTTGCCTGGACTGACATTGTGGTGATTTGTTTTAAAGCAGAATTGTCACTTTTGAGATTTTTTACAGAACCCAATAGCTAGGTAAAAGCTACAGATAGTTTTTATTTTACATGGCAGGATTTTTATACTTAAAAAAATAAATAAAAAAAATTCTATATTTACATGACATATGAGCATGGATTGTAAACTCACCATTTTGGTATCATATGTGCAAGTGCATTTGCGCCTATGACACAATTGAAGTGTTCAAGTGTTCAATGCTTGCACAGTGTTTCTGTGGCAATGTTTGAGCATACATTACTGGAATAAAACAAAAACAAAAACAAGGAACTGTCACTTCTATAAGAATTGATGGTTCTGTAAGATGGAGTTTATTTTTAATTTTGACATTTTTAGCAACTTTGACCTTTATTCAAGTTAAGGCTCAGTTACTTTGTATATTTGTATTTTTACTGTATATGACCTAACATTTAAATATAACGAGAAATATAAATAAATATATAATGAAATCGAATAATAAATAGAATACAATATAATAAAATGTAATGATGAAATTCTCACCAAATTAAAATTATTTTTGTTAAATAACTCATGTCACGGTGTAATATGTCATGTGTTGTTGTTCATCCAAGGTTGTATATACCTCATTTTAAGACCTGCTAATGAACAGATGATTGTTATTATGTCCTGATATGTAAAACCATAGAATTCTTTCTTTTTCCTGTGAATGTAAATGTAAATGCATAAATTAAAATAAAAATGGATCCAGAGCTCTGTTATTGCTTACTGAAAACGTACATGTTTGATTGGTATAAACAATTTTCAATTAATCAATATTTAGAGATGCAAGGCCCCTGTTTCTCAACCTTTTGACTAAGGCTGAAAGCTGAGTCACTTTACCATTTTCGTTGGGTCCAATTGTCTGCTTTTGCCAGGAGCTCTGTACCACATATTTTCTGGATCAATACATCCTTCCCCGCTTTAGATATAAGCATCTAAAGAAAGTGAATTACTTTTGACAAATGTGAACCACAGGCACATTCTCCCAACAGATTGTTTCTGTAAAATTATATATTTTGAAACTGGGGTGATATTGTTATTCAATTCCAAAAAATGTTTTAGCAATAGTTGGTCAAACTTAGCATTAGTCTCTTGCATCTTTTGATAAAACATATTTAATAGTAAAATTAAATTGCTTTTATTAAAACATCTTACACAATGCATATAAGACTATTGGTGTTCCAAAATATACACTTTTTATATGTGTATGTATGAAGTGGTGTATTCTGGTTTTGTGCTGCTCTAGGCATGACAAAACCCAGGCACCTCTCTCCAAATATCTCTTCCTGACAGACACAAGCCCTCACTGATACATGCACTGACATACACTCACTTACAGATACACAGTCATTGTCACATACACTGTTTAACCAACACACACTTTTATTGAAACATACACATTCACAGAAATACACACCCACTCATTCACAGTTACACACACACATTCATCGACAGACACACATATACAGTGACAGACACACATTCACCAACAGACACATACACACTCATTGACAAGGCACACATGCACACTCACTGACAGAAATGCATACACACTCACTTACATACACTTGGACACACTCACTGACAGATACACACTGACAAACACATATACAACAGTCACTGACAGACATATGTGCACTCAGTATCAGACACACAAATTGACCGACAGACACACATACACTAGCTGACATACACTCACTGACAGACATACACATTCACTGACAGACACACACACTCTCAGTGACAGACACGCATACACACACTGACAGACATGCATACACACACCGACACACGCTGAAACACGCCTACATACACTGACAGACACACTCAGTGACAGATACATACACTGACAGACACACATACATACTCACTGACAAACAGACACAAATTCACTAACAGACACAAATTCACTAACACCAGTCAGCCAGCTATTGGGTCCCCAGAACAAGAGGCTGGCAAGGCATTTGCCAGGGCGTTTGGGGGGCTTTTTTTCCCGCACCCGTGAAAGTGTCGCCCAAGGCAAATGCCTTGTCAGCCTCGCACTAAATACACCGCTGTATGTATGCTATTTAATAAATATGGTTCTGGAAAAGCCACATTAATCAAGTAACTGTTGATATAAATATATATTTATTTCTGCAGTAAGGAACACTTTTTTTTTTTTATATAACAAATGCAATTTACATTTTCTACTCTAGTATGCCAATTTGTGGCACCCCAACATTGTACATTTATTCTATAGATATAACCTTTTTGGATTGTACATGTTGATGTGTTTGTGTTAATTTTAAACATTTACATTACAGCCAGTATCCCTCCCTATGGTCTGTGAATAATAGTACCATTGCACCAGTGTCCCAGTCGGGAGGAACTTCAAACAGATTTGGATCGCAGTATCCCAGAAATTCTACAGCTCCTTACACATCACTTCCACATGATGTTCCCTCACCATCCACAGGCTCCCCTTTATATGAACATGGACCACCAGCAGATATCAGTGACAACCAGTATGATGCACATTCCAGATTAGCTTCTTCATGGCCTCAAGTCACACCTCCTTCAATGTGAATAGAAAAACAATGTTCCTTATAAATATGTATTTGGACTAAATATTAACAGTATTTAAAGAACTGGGCATCCAGAACTGCTGCTTTGACACACGAGGTGACCAACTGCAGGGCAGAACATACCCTTAATGTCCAAGATGTAAGCAAGCTACCACAATTTAACAGTTTAACAAAGGATATAGTGTTTTCAAAGTATGTTATCATTAGTGTCGTGTCACATTAGATACAGGTGGCCTTTGTTACAGTTGACCTTAAGGCTGCAGTATATACAACATTCAATTTACTTGCAGATTCACAAAAACAATGTCTTCAAAACCTCATAAATGTATCTTAATACTAAATGTGAATGGTCTTGGAAATCCTAGCCTCTACACTTCCTTGCTTTGCTCAGTCTCTTTTTCTCCCTGAAAATTTGTTGGTCTATAGAAAAATCTTGCCACTTAATTCCTTATATTATGCTTTACAAATTCCTAAAGGGAATCAGATTCTAGCTTCACTCTCACATTACCTAGGTCATTGAAAACTAACCTTTTTAAGGGAGAAACATTTTGAGTACAATTGATAATACTGAGGTAGGTGATCAAGTGAATGTTTGTCCTCAAGTCACATGACCAAAGAGCACCAATAATGTCTAATCAGAAAAGCTTTCATACACTGACTGATCTCAGTCATTAGGTTGTTCAGGGCACCTAGTGAGTTCTAGATTAAAGCTCTAGATATTGGCATGCAAAATGAAAGATAATGTTTTTTATGAACATATTACTTTTATAAACCAAAAAACTAAATGATAGAGTGTGCAGTGAAAACAAATATTTAATACCTAATATTAATATGGAAAACAGAGGTTTCTCACAGGTGAAACATAGAAAGAAAAATTATATATAAAGTGTAAATCCACATGGATAAAATTTGCAAATTCCAATTCCAAACCTGGCTCTAGATAGTGTGGCAGTTGGTGTCGTAAAGCTTCCACCTGACCTTCAGGATTTTTTGGGATGGTGACTTCAAAAGTAAATACAAGAATACTCTAGTGCAGATGGTAATATAGAACAGGGTTATTAAGATAGAATAAGTGGTCACAACACATGAATTAGAGCGCATACATTGTGGCTCTGTGATAAATGGCAGTGTGCTATATAGGGATAGCACCACCATTTGTAGAAAGTGGGAGCACAGCCGTAAACTTTAGGCAACTCGATCAATATTTTCTGTAAAAGAACTTTATTTCTATTGATATAAAAAAACCAACTTTTAGCTGTACATATAAAATAAAAGTAGAGTAGCAATAAAAGCAAAAGTCCTCAGTGAGCCTCCAATATGTGGTTTGCTGCATACATCTGCTTCCTCAGTCTGTGTTTAGCTCCTATTTGGCTCTATATCATCTATATAAACAATGATTTCCAATGTCATTTGGGAATCATTGTTAATTTGTATATCGTATCCATGTGGATTTACAATATATATTCTTTTTTATTTATATGTTTCAACTGCGAGAAACTTCTCTTTTTCTTTAGTTTTTGGTCTGTTTTGTTTTTTTTTAAAAGGTTTTTTAGCACTATATTTCTGTGCACACCAGAGGATTGTACACTGGTATTTGTAATGTTACTTTCATCATACACATTGTATACCATAACAGTTTGTTGTTTTACATTGCTTTTATGCTAAAATTTCACAGAAATATATTGACAATTGAACTTTATACATTATACATATTTTAGCAAACATAGTTACATGCTTAGATAATATTCTCAAACCCCACAACCTGGATATTTTAGGTTGGGTTTTTAATTTTTGTTTTTTTAAAAGAGATTTTCATTTTGGCTCTTGCTGGATGACTTTTTTGATTTTATAATTAGTCTGTTTTAATGTGGTTGTGTTTTTATGGTCATTTTGATTGGAAGGGAATATCTGTCCAGATATGCAGACAGAAATTATCTTTCAGCAATCGTTGGCTATTTACTACATCCACCTGACAAGTCCTTGTGATGAACAGCATACTCATTTCAGAACATGATATTTGTTATGATGACCATTTTCTCTTTGCTCCTCTCAGTTTTGCAGACAAGTTATTTTTTTGGGTGAAATAATCCATCAGAAGCTGAATTTTATTTTTTACTTATTTACTCTGGGCAGGGTCAGTGGGGACTTATGAAGGAAAAATAATCATTGCCTTACGTCTGCTTCTAATTTCCAGCAATCACTTTCTCTTATCATGCTTAGACATGGAGCTATGTTAGTGCTATAGACTATTCCTCCATATGGATTGATCCAGTTACAACTTACTTCTCTGTGACTTTACCTGGAAAACATTGCTTCACCTGCAGCCTTCCATTGGGAGTCACAGGTCCATCTGTGATGTTACATACATTTTACCCACTTACTTTAATGGTTTGACATTGGTGTAATTTTGAAAAAGTTTCCCTACTTTGCTCTGCAGAAAATAGTTCAGAATATCAATAATCCTGATCCATTTTTCTGTAATGTTATATCGCAAAATGTAAAAAAAAGTGTAAATACTTATTCAAGGACTGTACATAAATTAGATGTAAAGATTGACAATGGAATTTTATTAAATGGATTTCTTTGTAAGGGGAAATGCAGTGATCTAAAATGAGATACTGTAATATTTTGCAGCTTATTTTATTGCAACAACTGATGTAGATTTATTTATTTTTCAATAGGTCTTTTCATATGTTGTGTTAATTATATATGTATTGTGTATATATCTTGATGACTGCTGTAAGACAATTTTATTGAATAAATAAAAAGATTGTGTTATCAGATGACATACATGGCTTTTTATAGGACTGCATCATTCTTAATCAATGAATAATTTACTGTTTGCTGAAAGTGTAATTTTTTTTCCACATAGCATGTCTCATTCTTTTGATTGTGAGGTGCAAAGCAGTAACATATTGTCTGTTTCCTAATAGTATTACCATTACAGAAAATACTTTTATGGTGTTGTTGTGACAAGGAGAAAGTGCTTGCATAATGCTACAGAGTATCTGGCCATGTCAAGTAATTTGCAAACTTGACATGAACACTCCTTTGTTTTTAGTATCTATCCTTCATGGGTAGAAACAAATTAAGGTTGCCCAGGTTCCTAGGCAGGTGCCCCATTGGAGGTCCCCTCTAAGAGCACTGAGCTTTGTTTCTGTGAATGAAATAAAGATTGACTGCCTAGAGTCTTGGGCATAGTGTCTGTGTCCCCCTACATGCATATGTGAGCATATACTGAGTGTGTGTGCATAATTGTGTAGTGCCTGACTGTAGTATGTATGCATGTTTACTGTATGTACTGTGTGTGTGTCTTTCTGGGGATGAGTAGCATCTTGAAGATTCGTAGATGTGGGTATATAGACCACAAAAGTGGAACAAATTAGGAAATAATAGTGTGCTTATGTTAGAACCAGAGCAAATAGCAAGAAAAAGAGTGCACTTACACTTTTAGGAGCTAAATTCAAGCTCTTGTATATGCGCTTGAGTGTTATGATCTCTGCTTATGTATAAGCTTAAGCACCATCTTGCTTCATGTGTGTTTCTGTCATGGCTACCCTACCGAACTTACAAGTATAGGTCAGGCATAAATATACAGAAATATAGAATAGAGTAGAATAGAATCACCATCATTTCTAGGAGGAGGCAAAAGATGGGCATAAGGAGACAGAGACAGTTCAGCCATGACAGGCATTAGACGGGGTGGTACAGATTCTTGGTTCTCAGGAGTCAAATAAGCCGTGTGTATTAACACAGTCTGTAAAGTATGAGTGAATTGGTCAATATGATGGTCCAATTCTTTTACTTAAGCTTCACAATTAGCCATCTATTTACCTACACGTGCATGTTCTATGGCCCTATTGTAATGTCATGGTTACCCTACCCAACTTAAAAGTATAGGTCAGGAAAGGGTAGAAAGAAAGGAAGTTGTAGAATCTTAGACATTAGAAGTATTAGAATCTTAGAATAACCAATATAATTAGCTAAGTCAAGATTACAGAAGTCAGAAGTCAGTTAACAAGCCAAAATTGAAGAGCCAGAAAATCAGGGAACAATATAATGCACTATATGAGGAACCAAGAGGAAACCACGATAGGGCAAATACAACTGGGGCTAAAACTGTATTTAAACCATATGGTGTACACTGATTGGTGAACGTCACCCAGACGACCTCAAAAGTGCAGAAAATGGGTCACAGTAATGACACTGCCAGAATAAGAAATGATGCTAGACATAAAAAGTGGGGCGTCACAAGCGTGCAGCTACGTTCTTTCTGTCAGTATTGTTCCTATCATTTCCCTCCCGATTGGCACATTAGGCATGTTCGGGAATTTGGAATGCAAGCGCTAATCGATACTTTTGGCTTAGTAAGGCCAGAGCAGCATGTCGACTATGTAAGTACTGCGACAGTACCTCCCTCCAATGGGTGAGATACTATAAACCATGGGAAAAGCGAGAGTCCAGTATGGACTGAACCTCAAACTCCTCCTGTATCTCCACAAAGAGATGAGGTGGAGGAGAAGAAACAGATTCAGTGAATCAATTACATAAAACGGTTTTCAGCAGAGAGGTATGAAATTAGGTATACGCATTCCTTTAGGTAAATCAAGAGCATATGAGACAGTATTGATCATATGAAGCATCTGAAATGGGCCAATGAATTAAGGAGCCAGTTTAATGAAAGGAACTCACAGATGGATATTGCGGGTCGACAGCCAAACCCAATTCCCCACCTGGTAAGTAGGAGCCACATGACAGCACTTATCAGCTTGAACCTTGTGCCATCTAAAAGCCTCAACCAAAAGAGGCTGTACCTGCTTCCAGGTGTTGTGTAAGTTAGCCATATATTCGTCCACTACCAGCATTCTCTGTAAAGAGGAAGGACCGTAGTAGGTAGGCCATATAGTACAAAAATTGGACTATATCCAGAACCAGTCATCTTGGTGGTTCAAGAAAAAACAGTGTAAGTAATGTTCTAGGGGTTGATTGGCACATTTGACAGCTCCATTGCACTGGGGATGGTAAGTGTGAGAAAAGAGAGAGCAATAACCATCTATAAACAAAAGGCCTTTCACAAACAAGAAATAAACTGGCTACCTCGATCAGATACAAAATCTTCTTGAATGCCATATAAATTACCATCTTTTGAGGTCTGTTAGAATGATTATGGGATCTTTAGAACATTCCAGCAAGTGTCTCCATTCCCTAAGTGCAAGGTTGATGGCGAGTATTTCTCAGTTCCCTATAACGTAATTCTGTTCTGCCTTGGATAACTCACGTGTGTAAAGGCTTGTCAGAGGATTCTCTTTGTCACATAATTGCTCCTAATCTTATCTCAGAGGTATCCACTTCTAATATAAAGGGTAATAATAAAGGTCCACTTTATTTAGTGGCACCTTTAAGTTCTGTCATCAAGGTTATAGGATACACATTATGAACGGTGATCTCATTTAAACCCTATAATTAATGTATGCTCTCAGATCAACCTCATTTTGGGACATGAAAAAGAAGCCCTTCCCAGCAGTGGATGATGATCTCTTAATAAAACCTTTTTTGAGGCATTCTTTTATGTATTCCTCAATTACAAGGTTTTCTCGAGGAGGTAAAGGGTAAACCCTTCCTCTAGGAGATACAGTGCTATGGAGTAGATCTACAGCACAATCATATACCCTGTGAGGTGGTAGTTTGTCTGCCTCTTCTTGTCAAATACCTCCTTCACAGACATATATGGGAGAGGTATCGAGGTAGAAAGATCAGAAGCAATATGCTTCTTAAAATATGCTTCTTAATTGAATGAACAGGTGTAACCTTAGCAAGACATAGCTCATGACAGTTGGCACCCCAAGACATAATGTGTCCTGATTCCCAATCTTCACAAGTCAAGGATATCCCAACACTACTTGACAGGAGGGTGAGGATATGACATAGACATTTATATTTTATTTATGTAATACACCAATGGTCATTTGTAGTGAGTTAGTTATGTAAGTAAATATAGGGTTGAGTAAAAGTCTACCACCTATTGCCTCAATGGCCAAGGGTGTATCCTTATTTATTAAAAGTATGGTTGTTTTAGTGACAAAGTTAGAACCTATGAAATTCTCTGCACCACCAGAATCAAAAAGAGCATCAATAGAGATGAAGCTGTCACCCAAGGATATTGGGAGAAGTATTCTTTTTAGAGGCAATAGGGGGGAATGCTGATGTCACACCCAAAGCTGGTCCCCCGTCTCACTTGACATACCTTGAGTAAATGCCCACTTTTGCCACATTAATCACAATCCCTCCCTTCTTCTGAATTGATTTTCAGCATCTGACAAGTTAGTCACACCTAATTGAATGGGTTCTGCTTCAGCTAGCCCAGAAGCTTCAGATGTGCAAGACATGGGAGACATAAAATCCATCCGGTATTGGTGTCATCTAGGACGTCTAGGTCTGCTACTGGTGTACAATGTCTTCCTAAGCCTAGTATCTATATGTCTCATATAGTCAATGAGATCATCAAGAACTTCTGGCAACTCCCTGGCAGCAACCTCATCAGTAAGCCCCTCCATAGAAGCTGCAATTAAACCACTGTTGGTTTAATAAACCTATAGATGTCAAAGTGCAAAATACAATAGCGTACTCAGCAACACTGTTAGATCCCTGTTTATTTGCATTAGTGCTTTGGCAGCATTTTTGACATTGTTGGGGGTCCAATTCAAGGTAGATGAATAGGACAGGCTTATTTCTCTTCCATAGTGAATTAATCCATGCTAACACTTTACCACTAAGGTGATCCATTATGAATCCAATCTTTCAACGATAGGTATGAAACAATCTAGGATAAGTTTCCAAATAGTTTTCCACTTGGTTATTGAAAATTCCTAATATTCATAGACTTACCAAAATATCTAGGAGGAGTCAAAAGATTGGCAGAAGGAGCATAAGATGGTTCAGCCATGACAGGCGGTTAGAGAGGCTGGTACATAAGCTTGATTCTCAGGAGGCAAAAAAGCTGGACGTGTTAACACGGTTTGTAAAGTCTGAGCGAATAGGTGCATTCGATGGTCCAATTCTTCTACTCTAGCCTCACAATTAGCAATCTGTTGACCTACTCTTGCAGGTTCCATTGCTACCCTACTCAACTTACAAGTATAGATCAGGAATAAGTATTACTAGACAGAAATGAAGTATTACTGGATCTTAGAATGGCCAAATATAGCATCAAAATTAGAGAAAAACTGAATATAAAACAAGCTCAGATCAGGATAAGAAAACCATGGATATACAATATAATTAGCCAAGAGGGGATTACAGAAATCCAAAGAGTCAGTTAACAAGCCAAAATCAAAGAATCAGAAAATCAGGGAACATGTAATATAATGTACTATACGAGGAATCAAAATGAAAACCATGACAGGGCAGTGACAAATGGCACTAAAACCTTTGGTCCACTGACACTGATTAGTCCACATTAACCCTGCAACCACAAAATCGAGGAACGGGGTTGCAGATATGATGTGGCACTGCCAGAATAAGATAATATGCTAGGCATCAGATCAGCATAAATAGAGAGGCACCATAATCATGCAGCTTTCCTCTCTTTATCAGTATGCCAATCAGAAAGGCTGAATAGAACCAGGAGGCGGTACTTCACAAACGACACATGCAATGCGCTCAGTAAGGAAGGAACAGTGCGATCATAGGGCAAGTACCACGACAGGTTCTTGGCAGATTATGAAACAGATCT